GTGTCTCACGTGACTGCTGTATGTGTCTCTGAGTGTCTCACGTGACTATTTTGTGTGTCTCTGAGTGTCTCACGTGACTGCTGTATGTGTCTCTGAGTGTCTCACGTGACTGCTTTGTGTGTCTCTGAGTGTCTCACGTGACTATTTTGTGTGTCTCTGAGTGTCTCACGTGACTGCTGTATGTGTCTCTGAGTGTCTCACGTGACTGCTTTGTGTGTCTCTGAGTGTCTCACGTGACTATTTTGTGTGTCTCTGAGTGTCTCACGTGACTGCTGTATGTGTCTCTGAGTGTCTCACGTGACTATTTTGTGTGTCTCTGAGTGTCTCACGTGACTACTTTGTGTGTCTCTGAGTGTCTCACGTGCCCGTTGCAGGATGACCCGACCATCCAGGTCATAGACATGGGCGCCAACATCGGGGTGTACACCATGTTCGCTGCCGCCTGCGGGAAGACAGTCCTGTCTGTGGAGATGTTGCCCGCCAACATTCACCAGATCCAGAACTCTCTGGCGGTCAGTGGACTCAGCGAACAGGTCACGCTGGTCAACAACGCTCTCTTCAGTGACCACCGCACTCTCACGGCCAACTTCATCAGGTTGTAGTTCCGTCCAGTGTTGTCCATGTCTTACTGCAGCTCCTCTCTCAGCGTCTTGTATCAGAACATCAATAGAAAGTTATTTGGTCGCTTTTAAGCACAAGGGGGCTGTCTCGAAAAATGCTGTTTTGAGAAAAATTGAAGGTAAATTGGACCCATGTTCAGTTTCTTTAAAAGACAAGGAGAGTTTTCTCTATAACCAAACAAATATACACACCAATGAAACCAAACTTCTCCTACAAGTAGGGCAATGCTCAATTTTGGTGCAGGTCAAGATTTTTAGAAACCCTGAAATCTTAGTTAGCCCGCATGTCCTTAAAAGCGACCATGCGGCGCCTGTCATCCATGTCTAGGTACTGTTTTATCCATGGATGTCTTATTTGTCACTCTGTATATTTGATATTCATTAGAACAGATTGCCCTTCCTCTCTGTACTTATTAATACAGAGTTTTTTCCTTATCTTTCTTTATTCACTGAGAATAGATTATTGCTCTTATCCTTTCAAAGGGGTGGGGTGTACCTTGCAGTGATAGTCCTTCAAACCTTATCAGAGGAATTATTCACAGTTTCAGAATTATTCACAGTTTCAGAATTATTTAACGAGATATTTCCTGAGTGATCCAACAATATGAACTCAGTGATGCCACCTCGAGTATGGAGATTTGTCCAGTATGTTTCACTGTGGGGGATCTGTTCATCTTTTGCCTCATCTCTACCTGGCAAAACAGATCAGCCCTCGCCCCTGCCTTGTCTACTTGTTGTTGTTTTTCTTGACAAGGAATACATTTCAATGAAACAACTTAGATCTACCTTTTCTTGTTTTTTCTTGACAAGGAATACATTTCAATGAAACGACTTAGATCTACCTTTTCTTGTTTTTTCTTGACAAGGAATACATTTCAATGAAACAACTTAGATCTACCTTTTCTTGTTTTTTCTTGACAAGGAATACATTTTAATGAAACAACCCCCTCCTCCTCCCCCCTCCCGTCCCCCCTCCCGTCCCCCCTCCCCACTGCCCACAGAGAAAACGTCGGAGCGACTCACCTGAACGTATCTAAGACAAACTTTGCCAGGTTCGGCATGAAGGAAGACAACAGCCACACAGTAACAGTCAACACCATCTGTATCGACGATCTCATTCCCCTGCTCAAGTTGCGAAAAGTCTTCATCAAGATCGACATCGAGAGGACGGAAGCCAGGGCACTGTCATGCGCACACAAGTTCTTTGACGAGGTCGACGTCAGAATCATCCAGATGGAGTGGCTCGCCAAATCGCAAGAAGAAATTACCAGCATCAACCAATTCATGCTCGAACACGGCTTTACAGCGTCCAGAACTGCTTTAAAATATACACCCGTGAATACGAATGTAGCTACCACTCCAGGCAGTAATGTTTTCTTTATTAGGGTATGAATGATTACTAAATAGGTTATGTGGTCGCTTTTAAGAACAAGCGCGCTAACCCAGATTTTGGGGGGTTTCCAGAAGTCTTGACCTACACCAAGAGTGGACGTTGTCCTACCCATAGGAGAAGTTTCATTTCATTGGTGTGTATATGTATATTTATAATTAATTGGTTATAGAGAAAATTTTCCTTGTCTTTAAAAGAAACTAAACAAGGGTTCAAAAACTTTACCTTCGATTTTCTCAAAACAGCATTTTTCGGGATAGCCGCCTTGTGCTTAAAAGCGACCAAATATTATATATTATGTTGAGTGTTTGATTTCAGAGACTGAAGAGTGAGTTGACAGGTTTAAATGCTGCACAGAATGTTGGACGTCATGTTTGATACATTATCATTGATATCACGACTGAGGTAGGAGTGAGGCATAAAGCATTCATTGCTTTTGGCTTGTCTGCGGATGACATAATAGCTGTTGTTGTTGCTTCTGTTGTTGTTGTTGTTTTTTGTTGTGGCTGTTGTTGTTGTTGTTACTGTTACTGTTGTCGTTGTTGTTGCTGTTGTTGTTGTTGTTGCTGTTGTTGTTGTTGTTGTTGCTGTTGTTGTTGTTGTTGTTGTTGTCGTTGTTGTTGTTGTTGCTGTTGCTGTTGTTGCTGTTGTTGTTGTTGTTGTTGTTGTTGTCGTTGTTGCTTCCCCAGACTGATGTCTCTAGTTTGGTTCTACTTACATGGTAATGCTCAGTACACTCAACTATGACAGGGATGACAATGACAGGGATGACAATGACAGGGATGACAATGGCAGTGATGACAATGACAGTGATGACAATGGCAGTGATGACTATGACAGTGATGACAATGACAGTGACAAACACAGTGGCAGAAACAGTGATAAAACAGTGACAGTGACAGTGACAGTGAGAGTGACAGTGACAGTGACAGTGAGAGTGACAATGACAACAGTGACAGTGACAGTGACAGTGACAGTGACAGTGACAATGACAACAGTGACAGTGACAGTGACAGTGACAACAGTGACAGTGACAATGACAGTGACAGTGACAACAGTGACAGTGACAATGACAACAGTGACAGAGACAATGAGAACAGCGACAGTGACAAAAACAGTGACAGTGACAATAACAGTGACAGTGACAATAACAGGGACAGTAACACAACAGTGACAGTGACAATAACAGGGACAGTAACACAACAGTGACAGTGACAATAACAATGAGAGTGACAATGTCAGCGACTGTGACAGTGACAATGACATTGGCAAGGCCACTCTGTCACTCTCCTCACCACAGACAGACACCTGTATCTCCCAGCGACACCCACCGGTACAAGCGGAAGAAAAAAGTTTTTAAAAAAGTTAAAGTAATTAGTATCAGCTACCAGATAAAAGTTGGAATCTGGATGTACCAATTTTCTCCGTAAAACCGCTCACTCTGTGTGTGTGTGGGGCGGGGGCGGGGGGGGGGGGGTTAATGAAGGATAATCCAAGATGTCTTAGCCCCTCCTGTCTTTGAAAAAATCATTAATAAAAAAAAATTCTCCGAGAACTTAAGTCCCATTTTCCAAGGGACGGAACCAAACTGTTGGCAAAGGGGAAGTATCGATTTGATCCTTTCTCTGGCTGGGGTCTTTTGCTTTTCTTTTCTTTTCTATTTCTTTTCAATTGTTTAAATAAATACATTAACAAACATTAGTTCTTTTCATTTCTGATGAGCATTGGACCTAATTAATTCTGTCAAAGTACAATTTTGTTTTCAGCTGACAAAAGTAAAAAGATACTAATAAACCTACTAGTACTCGTAAGTTCTCGTAAGGTTTTATAGTATGTTAATCGTGACTGGAATCACCGGATGATTATGTTATCTGAGGCACATTGGAGCTTTTGGACAGGCGAACTAAGTTAGGCACTTCAGTGAAATTTTCAAACTTCTCCGAGGGCATTAAAATTTGGATTATTGAAAAGAGCTTGGCTTTCTGTTTTCAGAGCTTTTTAAATGTTTGTGCTATCTTTGTTAGTTTCGAAGCAGCGACAGTTTTTGTGAAGCAATTTTCGCCCTGATTTGGCCAAATTTTTGCACTGCATTTTGTGCCACCAAAACTCGAAATTTTGCTTCACAAAGTCATAAAATCTGTAATAATAGTTGTATCGTGACCATTGAGCTATCATTTTGTTTGCTGTTTTATGTAGAATCAATATATAAAAATAAAAGTCAAGTATATTAAGAGTAAAATTCTATTTACCGTTTAATTACGTCATAATCGTGACGTCGGGAGTCCAATGCCTATTATCCCAAAAAAGATACGGGCACACTTTCCATAATAATGGTCCGATTTTCAAAAGAAAAACATCACTCATTTTGTTTTAAAGAGTTCTGTAACTTGCTATAGGGGAAAATGATTAAAATGGAAAGCAGTTTCAATCTTACACGCATAACTCAGGCAGGAGGTTGGGGGGTGCTCTGGGGTGTGGTTTGTTCCTTTTTTCCTTATTAACAATCAACCGTCATTATCTCTCCTCGTTCATTTCTGTGTATGTTACTCTCTTGTAACACCTCTAATCTTCGGGGCTTATAAGACCTATTTGTGTTGCAAGTGCCGTTAAACCCAAGCATAACGCAGACTTGAAGAATATGAAAACAATTCAATGAGTATGGTATAAAGCGGGAAATCACCATAGCATATGACAATTACTGAGGGTCATCAAATACAGATATATATATATA